GATTAAGGTTCAAAGCCAGCCCAGGAAGGGAAAGTCTGTGAGACTTTTATTTCCAATAAACCACTCAAAAAACCAGAAGTGGGTCAAGTGGTAAAGTATAGCCTTGAGCTAAAAAGCTAATGGACAGCACCTAGGCCCAGAGTTCAAGCTCCATGACAGACCAAAAAAGAAAAATTATTGGCCACAAAAAGATGTTTCCAAAATATTTCCAGTCTCTCTACACAATATATTATAGACAGGGCCCTGACAGTGATTTTTAGGCTACTGTGCATTTCAGACCATTTACAAATAACAGGCACAACCTAACTTTTTAGCTAACAGACTACACTACAACTGAATAGCAGATGATTTAGAATGAGTAACAGGTCAATTATAGGAATTATAATTGTTTCTGTGCATTGGGATTTTATGTTAAACATGAGAATGTGAGGGTGAGCAGCCACATTTGATTTTAATTGCTATAGCCTGGGTAATCCAAAACATCCGGAGAACACTGGAGGAAATGAGAAAATGACAAGAGGCATGGGAGATGGAAATCAGGTTGCTGAGGGAACTCTGGTAACAGATGTGGCTCTATCAGTGGGATTGGCTCAAATTTATAATTTACAGCAAAGGAGCAGCAGCTCAGAAAGAGTCTTCTCCAGGCTTAGAAAAAACTCCCCTTACTTTTTCTAGGTACTGAGCAAAAAAGGAAAAAGGCCTAAATGCAGAGTATTTTTCAGAAGAGTAAAATTGGTAGATTTTTTTTAGTTCCTTCAGTATTTGTTACAACTGAAAAGGAAATATTCCCACATAGTACATCACAAGTAAAATGAATTAAAAATTTGTTCAAAACAAACAATAAAATAATGAAAGCTGGTGAACAAAACAAAAGCAAGAAAATCTGTAAGCCATCAGGTAAGAAATCTGATAGAAATCGCAGTAATAGACATACAAGGTCTTTCCAGCAAGCAGTCAGTGGAGAGAGGAAAATGAATCAGACACTTGAGTCCTTCCATTGCTCTCCATGGAAATCATGAGCCCTTCCTGGAAAGTATTCAGGCAGTAATAATAGTAATAAAAGCACCTCTGTGGGGCTTTATGGGCCATAAAAATCAACTCCATTTTCTAAGCACTTACTGAACATTTTATAGAAATTATTTCTTTCAATCTTCCATACAGCTCTGTGAAATTCAACCTATTTAGAAAGAGGCTAAACCTTAAACAGGTTAAAGAATATGTGCAATGTGGCACAAGAGCCATAGATTCAAACCCAGCTTGTCTGTTTACAGGGCTAAATGATCAACCACTACATTATATTGCCCAAATAAGACACATGCATGTCAGGGCTGGGAAGTTGGCTCAGTGGTAGAGTGCTTGCCTTGCATGCATGAGGCCCAGGGTTCGATTCCTCAGCACCACATAAGCAGAAACAAGCCAGGAAGTGGTTCTGTGGCTTAAGTGGTAGGGCACTAGCGCTGAGCTGAAGAGCTGAGGGACAGCGCCCAGGCAGAGTTCAGGCCCCAGGATCAACCAAAAAAAAAAAAAAAAAAGATACATGCATGTCAAAGTAATTGCAATAAATGGATGGTATAATATTGTTTACACAAAGAATTTTTGAAATACGATTCCACTTTGTAAATCAACTGGTCAGTACTCCCTATATATGTGTGTATAAATAAAACACATTCATCCTTACTACATGTACTGTATTGTACCTCCTTGTTTGAAATGCTATAATTCAGGTCAGTCACTGGTGGCTCACCCCTGTAATCCTAGCTACTCAGGAGACTGAGATCTGAGGACTGTGGTTTGAAGCCAGCACAAGCAGAAAGGTCCCTGAGATTATCTCTATTTAACTACCAAAAAAAAAAAGCACAAAGTGGAGCTGTTGCTGAAGTAGTAGAGTGCAATAAAGCTCAAGGACATTTCAAGCCCCAGGACAAGAGTGCATGTGTACACACAAATGCGCGTGCACATACGCACACGCACGCGCGCGTGCACACACACACACACACACAGCTTAATTCATGTCATACCCCACAAACAAGTAGAGTCTTGCAATTTTCAAAAGGCCTGCTCTAAACAGTTGTATGGATATTTTGAAATACAAAGGGAAGGATATGTTAGTACTGTGATGTGAGAACCACACACATGCATCCTGAGAGATGATTAAATAAGACATAAATATAGGCAATCACTATGTTAAGCCTGGCATAAATGATTAGTCTTTACAATGCTTCCTACAGCATCAATATACTCCAAGGTTTAAAGAAATGAAGGTACTCTATTATCATAATTCATAATCAAGGCCTTCCAAGGTTAGCAAACTTAACATTTCAATTCAAAACAGTCAAGCCTGGGCTGGGAAGGTGGCTCAGTGGTAGAGCGCTTGCCTTGCATGCCTAAGACCCTGGGTTCGATTCCTCAGCACCACATAAGCAAAAAGAAAAAAAAAGCTGGAAGTGGCGCTGTGCTCAAGTGGTAGAATGCTAGCCTTGAGCTGAAGAGCTGAGGGACAGCACCCAGCCCCAGAGTTAAGGCCCCACAACTGGACCCAAAAAAAAAAAATCAAGCCAGGCACTGGTGGCTCATGCCACCATTAGCTAGGATTCTAGCTACTCATGAGGCTGAGATCTGAGGATGGAGGCTCAAAGCCAGCCCAGCCAAGAAAGTCCAGGAGACTCTTATCTCCAGTTAACCACCAGAAAAACAGAAGTGGTGCTCAAAGTGGTAGAGCACTAGCCTTGAGCTGAAGAGCTGAAGGACAGCACTCAGTCCCAAGTTCAAGCCCCACAACTGATCAAAAAAAGAAAAAAAAACTTTATTTGAAATTTAACTTCACATATGTTATTCTTTGTTTTGTCAGCCATAGATCTTGAACTCAGGGTTTGGGTGCTGTCCCTGAGCTCTTTCCCTCAAGCCAGTGTTCTACCACTTGAGCCACAATACCACTTCTGGTTTTCTAGTGGTTATTTGAAGATAAGAGTCTAACTGACTTTCTTGCTCATGGTGGCTTTGAATTGCAATCCTCACATCTCAGCCTCCTGAGGATTACAGGTGTTAGCCACTGGTGCCTGGCAAAGTTATTCTCACACCTTAAAAAGAAACATTACCCTCAAAGAAGAAATCTAAAATGAGCCTTTTTTTCCAATTACAAGATTCTACCTGATAGAATTTTCTGGATTATAGTATTTTCTGATTCTACCTCTATTCTAAATGGATAGATGTAACCAATATTTTGAGGTATACCAGAAAAAAAATTTATAACAAGAATTGACAGTACTTAAAAACAAGAATTGGCACTCATCAATTAAAATGTGAAACTAAATAATAAAATCTACATTCAAATTTAAAATACAAGTTTCCTACTTAAGAAAGAGAAAGGTAAGTAGAATATGAACTCAAGTACATTTTTTTAATCTATAAAGCAGATGTGTGGTTTTTTGCAGTTTTAGGGTAAACTGAAAAAAAAGTAATTGTCTATTAGCTATTTCAAGCTTTTAAACAAAATCTGTTTATAGTAGCTTCAACCACGTTATCTACAGCAATGTAATTATTTTCAGACTGGGAATAAACTTGCACTTGGTGCTCTGTAAACAATTCCTGGGTATATCTAGAATACGAGTTTCTGGCTGGACAAAAGTACTTATAGGATATCTAATTTATCTTCCCATATTCAAAAAAAAGGAAACTGGTATATTAAGTGTCAAGCCTTCCCAACTCATACAACCAATTAATAACCAAGAGAGGTCTAGAACCATTTTCCTCTTATTTCCACAGATATAGGTCAACTCTGAGGATGAGATCTGATTTACTTTCTGGGAAGGAATAGGCCTTTAAAATTTACCAGCCATGTGGTCATTGGCTAGATTTCCAAGATCCCTTTTCCTCTTCTACAAATATAAATACCAATTCTAACAATTTTGTGAGGATTATATCTGGCGTAACTGCCATTGATTAGAAAATAACAAGCATTTAAAAACTGGTAGCATTTTTTTTTTTACTCCAATCCTGGAAACATGGCTGTTCCTCCTGTTTGGGAAGAGAAAGAAACTGATTTCACTAACCTAATGAACAGGGTCCCATCCACTGGAACTTCTCTGGTCCACTACATTACACAAACAGATACCACCACCCAATGCCCTCTTTCATTCTATCCAAAGTTCATCTCTTAATATGTGAAAAAATATTGAACTGCTGCTAAATGACTGTATGTTTAATTTGTCATCCAGAATTTGCAGGGGAAGGGGGAACTGGCTCCACCCAAAATATGGAGAATAAATACAGGGCAAGATAGGTCACACAGCTGAACCAGAACTCAGGAGCTTGTTCTCAGCATGTTTAGGCATGAATAGTAGAAAGCAAAATGCTTGCTTTCAGCATCATGAGGCAGGAATAATGGTGACCTCAACAAAATACAGCTCCTTGGGCTTCTCAACACACACATATACACAAAAAAGAGAGAAGAAAATTTCCTTTCCCTTGTAAATATGCACATAGGTAACAATTGAGCATCTTCTTGTAAATTTATATATTAGGCTGTATCCGAGCGTCACTGTACCCTAAGATCATATAAATATATGGGGGAAAACAAAACTATGAAATGCCGACGGGGAAAAAAAACAAAAACAACCATGGAGAATATCACCTTGAAATCACCAGAAGGAAATCATAATGTCATGCCAAAGTCGTCTCCACTGATTAAAATCTTGACCCTTCATTCTTATGACACTGCAGACCCACCTCCCTCTAAGGAAATCAAGAAGAATCACTGCCGCGACCAACCTCAGCAATCAGCAGCGACCCAGTCGAACCTTGGATCTAAAAACACCGTGGGTCAAAGCCCCTTCCTGGAGCTGCTAAATCCGGCGCTGACTCCAGACTACCTCACTTCCTTTCGGTCCTCCCTCCCGTGCTCGATCCTAGGCATTTCTCGCCAAGGCTTGTCAGTGACAGAAAAACTAGGAATAAGACAGACTTTGTTCGCGTTGTCTGAGGAATACCAGAGCCACACATACCCGTCCCCATTACGATCACATCAAACTCCGAAGGGAGATTATCCGCCATCTTGACAGGAACGTGTCATGTGACTATTGCCTGTTCGTATTTAAGCAATCCCCGAATTGAAGACGGAAAGAAAAGCAGTGCATTGTGGGTATTGTAGTTCTCAGGTGGAAGGTTCAGGTAGACACTATCGCATTGCATTTCCAATGTTTACAGAAATGCTGAACCACTACTCTTTTTCCTGGCTGAGTGCAGTAGTTCAGTTTAGTCTAAAAATGTACGTACTTTTTACATGTCTGGCTGAGATGAATTTGGAAAGACTTAAGTACCCCTTAACAATGATGAAACAACTGTTAGGATATTTGTTACTGGGGAGGAAATTGAAAGGGGCTTGCTCTGAGAACAAAGGTTCCAGCCTGCAAAGCTCTTTACCCTAGAGGGTCTCATTTTGGCCTCCAAGCCATGAATAGGCACAGCCTTGTTTTCAAATTATGTTCCTTCTCCTTTTCATCTTTTATCTTCCCCCTAGAAAAATTCTATTCTGGTACCCCCAGAATAGAATGCTTGCAGTGCTCATACTTCTAGTTAATTCAAACAGCCACTCTAACAATACATTTTTGCAAAATTAACATCACTTTACAAAGGGGGGCGGGGAATGAGCATTTAAAAGAATAATAGATGGTTTGGCAAATATGTTGGTGTATATCTATAATCCCAGCATTCAGAAGGCAGAAACACAAGGACCATTAGTTCGAAGCTACTCTGGGCTAAAGAGCAAGTCTTTGTTCCAAAGAATAATTATAATAAAAATTTTAGGGCCTGGAGACATGGCTCAGTTGGCAGAGCACCAGAAAATGAGCAAAAGCATCAGGTACAGAATTCCAAGCCCCAGTCTTGGACAAAGAAAAAAATTTAATAGATGCTGAATAATTATTTATTGAAAGTCAGAATCTGATTTTCTGCCCAAATAAAAGAAGTCCATATATGATTCTCCTAATAAGCAATTGCTGAAATGACTACAGTGTCCTTTATATCAAAGTGATTGTATTTGAAAAAAGAATTTCAAACTGTCTTTGCCAAGTTGCTAACACAGTTCTCATGTAAATTTTCAAAGTCTGTCACCTACCACTCCCCATATTTAAAATGTTTTCTGAAGCTAGGTGCTGCTAGTGGTTTATACCCGTAATCCTAGCATCTCAGGAGGCTGAGATCTGAGAATCATAGTTTAAAGCCAATCCAAATATGAAAGTTGTGAGGCTTTTATCTCTAATTAATTACCCAAAAGCCAGAAGTGCAGCTGGGGTTCAAGTGGTAGACCACCAGCCTTGAGTAAAACCCTCAGGGACAACACCCAGGAACTCTCTCTTTCTCTCTCTCTCTCTGTCTCTCTGTCTCTCTGTCTCTCTGTCTCTCTCTCTCTGTCTCTCTCTCTCTCTCTGATACACACACACACACACACATATGCATAGATTAATCAGACTCACTTCTTTCCATCTCCCTTCTCTCCTCCATTCCCAAACCAATGTCAGCAAGCTTCATTTGTCCATTTTCACACAAGTACATGAAGTATTTTGACCATATTCACTCTTTCCCTTTCTACATTCATCCCCCCACCTTCCCACAAGTACTCAGTGCCACACATAGTTCCTGTGTTAGTACAATAACCAGCAAAAAAAACAAAAGTGAAGATTTTATGTTACCAATCAATATAGCAATATTTTCACTGAACTTATCACAGGAGTCCTTCCTGTTGTTCATTTTTAGATGTATGTTTATTGGCCAGAAGGGTTTGACTTTGGTATTTTACACAAACTGGGTTGAACTCTTGCTTTACTCTCACCTTGCCCGTCCTTGCTACCCCCTATTGTTCAACAACCCTCTGTTAGTTTCATTATTCCACCTTCATTCACAGGTGGAATATATTTCAATAGATTTCAGTATTGTTCACTCTGTAATAGACAGGCCCATGATAACAAGCATCGTATAGGAATGTGTTTATTTATATGTTTCCATTTTTATCTAGAATCTATACCTGAGAGAAAACATGAGGCTATGTAGATATTTTACAAGAATTCCAAAATACATCAAAAACAAGGTGCAGTAATGGTACATCATCCATCTTCCCAGATGATTACAGTCCCTCACAATTTCTTCTGGCCAAGTTTCTGATCAAACTCAAATAAGCTATTTCCTTAATATGTAATGATTTTAACATTCTCAGCTAACATTTATTTTTAAGATCAAGAATAAGAAATATCTAACCTGATTTAAACATTAATGTGTACATATATCAAAATATCACATAATATTCCATGAATTTGTGAAGTTTGTATATGAGTTAAAAAATAATAAAATAGCCAAGAGCTGGTAACTCACACGTATAATCCTAGCTATTCAGGAAGACAAAAACTGAGGATCATGGTTCAAAGCCAGTCTCGGCAGAGCTGAGACTTTCATCTTCATTTAAGCATCAAAAATGTGAAAGTGAAACTATAGCTCCAGTGGTAGAAGCTCTAGCCTTGAGCAAAATAAAACACCACAGAGCCACAGAGACAGTACCTATTCCCTGAGTTCAAACCTTGGGACCATCACAAAAATAAATGTACTTTTATATATTCCCTCCATACACTTCCGCTAATTAATTTTAATAAGAATAAATTCAAAGTTCCAGATTCAGATTCTTATCTCCAATTGACCAGAAGTGACGATTATATAATGTATGTGTATAGCTATTTTTAAAGTTAACATGTGAGTTATTCACAACCTCTCTGGCCCTGCACACAACTTAAAAAATATTTGCCTTCTAAGATGCCCTGGAAGTTAAGCATGTAAATATATTTATGTTTATATTAATTTAATGATCGTGCAAGTTGATAACAGGAAAGCAGAGATATTCATTTACTGGATTATCCCAGACATCTAGATGAGCATCTGTAATCAAATATGTTAGTAAATATTACTAGAATATAAAAGGGTAAAGACATAATACTTTCCTGAGAAATCTTTAACACTATGGAAAGGGTTTGGTTTGGTTTGTTTTTGTGCTGGTCCTGAAGCTATCAAACCAAGATCCTCAAATCTCAACTTCCTGACACAGGATTACATGCGTGAGCCACCAGTGCCTGCCTTGTTTTGTTTTTGTATGTTTATCACAGAACCACTTTCCCAAAACTATATTCAAGTGATAAATAATCTGCAGGTTATTAGGAGTTCTATGATCAAGTACATTAAGGGGAAATTAAGTTAAATGATTACTGAGGTATTCAAGCTTAAACCAGCTGTATGTATTATATATACGTATGCAAACTATGAGGATTTCACAAAAACTTTTAAGCCACAAACCAAACTTTGGGCAACACTAGGTTAGGCTACACACCTGGCCTAGAATGGTGTTAGTCATATTTTCATAAATGATGATTTTGCCCCATCATCAGTGGGACATATCACCAAATGGGTTTTAGGAGTGGCAGTGGATCAGATGAATCAGAATTACTGACACACTTTTTTTCAGATATCAGTGGTGATAGTGTAGTTTGTGATCCAGGATTTATAACATTTTATACACATATGAACACACATACTGTATCCACTGCCACAGAATCCAGTGTTAGGTGCCATCAAACTAACTATTGATTTTCTAGCATAAACAAAGAGAAAAAAGTACCAGATCAATCTTGGACATCATGAGTTCTTTTTTTGCTTTGTTTTGTTGGTCATGAGGCTTGAACGTGGGGCCTAGGCACTGTCCCTGAGATTTTTTTGCTCAAGCTAACACTCTACCACTTTGCACCACAGCACCACTTCCAGTTTTCAGGTGGTTAATTAGAGATAAGAGACTCAGAAATTCAGGGTAGCTTCAAATCTGGATCCTCAAATCTCAGCCTCTTGAGTAGCTAGGATTACAGGTCTGAGCCACTGGCACCTGACTTAAGAGCAACTTTTTTTCCAGTCCTGAGGTTTAAACTCGGGGCCTAGGCTCTGTCATTTTACTCTACCACTTTGAGCTACAGTTCCACTCCCAACATCATGAGTTCTTGAAATATAAGAATGGTTCTTAGAAAACCATTCCACTTGTAGCAATGTGTATTTCTTAATACTATGAAAGAACAACAGTGAGTAGCTAATTAACACATTATAAGTTTCAGACTTAGAAAGAGAAATCTGTTTTAAATGCCAAAATACTGTCACAGCTTTTTTTAAATTAAAACTTTTTTGTCTTGAAGTTTGTGGTTGTAGTGGTAGTAAAAATTCATGACACATATTCAGGGCAGTAAAACTTAGCTAAAAATGGAGAAATTCTAGTCTATTGGAGAATAATCTCAAATTACATGGAGCTCTACTTTTGTGACCATATAAAGTGTTCAAAGAGCTTTACAGATGGAGTCAGATTCAATTTTTCCATTTCAAATGTATATAAATACTATACTATTTTCCATTTAGAGTTTATAAACTTGAGTTCTGTGAGTTCGTGTTTATTTCCATCTTTAAAAGACAATCAGGGGCTGGGAATGTGGCTTAGTGGTAGAGCGCTTGCCTAACATTCATGAAGCCCTGGGTTCTATTCCTCAGTACCACATACATAGAAAAACCTGGAAGTGCGGTAGAGTGCTAGCCTTGAGCAAAAGAAGATCAGGGACAGTGCATAGGCCCTGAGTTCAAGCCCCAGGACTGGCAAAAAAAAGACAACCAATGTCCTGAAAACAATCATTTCCACTATATCAGAAATATATATTTAACTACTAGTTTTAATAACAAAATGATTATTTGAACTATTTGTCAGCTTGTTCAATAGGGAGATATTCAGAACATATTTGCATTTTTTACATCAAAACAAAACAAAAAAATCTATGAATAATTTTGTGAATCTCTCATGAACCTTTACAGAAAGTCTTGCTGTTCTTCACTTAGCTATTTAATTGTAATGTCATAGTAACAGAAAGCAGCATACCCAATTCTACATGGATGAATAAACACATTCAATAAGGAAGATTTAACAGAGTAAATCAAACACTGGATTAAACATTTTCTGCATAACAGACCACAAAATGGGCATTCATTTTACCAATGGATCCTTGGCATTAGAAGCAAAGA